AGTATTATTGGATCATTTCTTTCTGTTTACTAATTTATTATTTTTGTTACCGGATGTGATGTGACACCTGTGGACGACAGGTGGCAACAGTGCGCTGTGACCCCGCCCCCCAAGTCTGCTGCGGTGCATGCTGGGTAGTTTACCGGCGGTGTCCGGTGCCGTAGTCCAGCTCTTGGCTCCTCCGGTGTGTCAGCGATGAAGAGGAGATGATGAAGAGGAGAAACACCGGCGGCTGCTCCTCACACCACAGGTACAGAGTTCGAGCCCGGCGGTCACTGCGCCGCTGCTCCTCCGGTCCGTCCGCCAGCGAGCTAGCCTGCTAGCCTGCTAGCGTTAGCCAGCCTACGTGTAACCCCTGACAACATTAGCTTTAGCATTAGCTGTGGTCACAGGCCGCGGTTCTTCTGATCTTCAGCCGCTGCGTCATCGATAAATAACAGAAAACGCACGTTGGCACGTTTCTGCTCGTGTTGACGTCACTGTCAGCGCCGCGGGTTCGATGCCGAACAGGCAGCAAGTGCTCCGGAGCTAAGCTAAGGCTAGGTGGCTAGCTGCTGTCACTGGAGGCTCAGCAGAGATGAGACAGTTCGAGTCACCTGAAGATAAATCAGGATAAATAAAGATAAATAAAGATAAATCAAGATAAATCAAGAAGATCTGCATGAAATATTCTGTCGTTAGAATAAAAAAACTCTGTTCGACCATCCTGAGGTTTCATTCAGGTTCAGTCAGTCACAGATGTGGGAACACAACTGCTTCATCTCAATCATCTCTAACATCTCGTCTGTAGGTTCATTCGTTTCCCTCAGGAGGTTTAAAAAGTAATAATCATAATGATTCATGTTCTTGTTTCATGGCACCTCTCTGGACACCTAAGGAGAAATATATAACCACACAAACTACCACAACTCCGTTACATTAACGCTCAGCTATATACTCTGCATACTCTTCTTATTTTTCCTTTTACCTTCAAAAACATACTGTGTATATATTGAATGTTTATATTTTTACATTTTAATACTTGATTTTCTTATCTTCTTATATTTAGAGATGTCTGACATGCACCAACAACACCAAAACAAACTCCATGTATGTGTAAACTTACTTGGCAATAAAGCTTTTCTGATTCTGATTCCGACAATTAATATCAAACCCACAGTTTAAAAAGGATCAGAAGACACAAACCGTCAGTACAACATATAGTAAATGCAATTTTCAGTTCCGATTTTTACTTGTATCTAAGTCTGTGATGGTCGACGAGCAGCGTCAGACCCTCCAGAGCGTCACGTCTCCAAAAGTCTTAATCACTCAATAATTTCTATTTTTACCTCAGAGGTTGAGAAGCTTCAGTGTTAGAAACAAGCAGCCGGTGGAGATGTTTCCTCTGATCCTCATCACTGGGATGAGACGAGGGTGTCACACCTCCACAGTCCACATTCTCCTGCTGTTTTCTCTCCTGGACTCACTCTGATGTTTGACTCAGACATTTGTTCTCACAGACAGAATCCAGATGTTTGGCTTCACTTTTTGGAAGTCGTCTATCTTTTTACACTTTATATCAATGAGCTTTATCATTTGATTTGTTTTCTGTTTCTAATATCAGCTTTGTGTGTGTGTGTGTGTGTGTGTGTGTGTGTGTGTGTGTGTCTGTGTGTGTGTGTGTGTGTGTTTTTGTGCGTGTCCAGCTAGCCTCTTAGGAGGCGTGTCCCAATGTCATGGCCTCCAGCCACAGCTCCTCCTCAGTGCCTCGTCCCGGTGGTAGAGGCCGAGATGGAATATATCACAAGGAGAGGGATCGCTCCCCGTCCTGCCGCCGGCCTCTCCGCTTGCTGCCTGACGTCTGCCCCAAGGAACCCACCGGTGGGAAACACTGCACACTACTGAAACACATTCTGACCTGTCACAGTTTTTGCTCTTAGCCTCTGTGGCTAATGTTCATTTAACATCCAGTGGAAACATCCTTTACATTGTTCTAGAAAACTAGAAATATAAATTTAGATTTTTCATGAAACGTCTGACTCTGACCACGCACTTTTGCAGGTGAGGGACGGGGCCTGTGCGATGGCCCATCTGTGGTGGCGGAGCACGACAGGTGGACGGTGTACAGCTCGAAGGTCAACCTCCCCGCCGCGCTGAACGACCCCCGGCTTGCAAAGCGGGAGTCTGACTTTTTCACCAAATCGTGGGGCCTGGACTTTGCAGAAACGGAGGTGATGCCCTCCTTCTACCTCCCCAACATCACCAGGGAACACTTCGGACCGTACCTGCAGGAGACGGCTCAGGTAACAACCACACAGGGAGGACACATCCTCTCACTGCCGACCACATCTCTGTAGCCTCACTGCAAAAAATGGTGATGGTGTGGCTGGTTAGATACCTGTCATGTTCAGTGTCACCTGACCGTGGCTCGTAGCGGGTGTGTCAGGAATCCTGTCGGAGCAGTTTCAGCTCAGCGCAGTCGACACCAGTGTCTGTGATCTCTGCAGTGGAATTGATTTGTTACTTCCTGCCTCTGTCACCTCTCGCCTGAATGATGTGGAGGATTAGTTGTTGTTGTGAATGTGTCTGAGAACCGCTCGCTGCAATGTGCATGTGTGTAAAAGCAAACTACGGGTCTGGACCCAATTCTCCAGACTTCGTCCACAGGTCGTTTGAAATCAGCTTATGTGACCTGGAACATCGTCTTTCTGTTCCGTCAGGATTTTAAAAAAGTCAAGTAATTATTTCCTCCCTCAGGTTTTAGAGAGATGTCACAGAGTCAATGGAGACACGATACTTCCTGATTCCTGTGTGCTGCTTTATTTTCTCTTGACTGAGCAGCTTTACTTCCTCACTTGAGGTGAAGCTCAGAGGAAAGCAGATTTGTTTTCTGCTGTGCAACGAGCAAAATGCTACAATGATGAAAAAGTCAGTTCTAGTCAAATCGCTTTGACCCTTTTGTTTTTCCATGTTTTCTTTTTTAAGAGGGAAAAAATCCACGAGCGCTGCAAGACGATCTGTCCGAACAAAGACGACGTGGACGCCGTCTCCAGTATCACCACCAACCACGGTATTAATTATTAACCTGCAGCTGTCACAGGACTCTCCCTGCCCACGTCCTCCTCAGTCCATAAAAACACCAGAGAACTCATGAACACTGATTGATTGTTGACTAGAAATCAATGATCGCTGAAGCTTCTCTCACGATGTTGTCTTTCATATATTTTTATCACAGGAAGTAGAGCTCATAATAACCAGATGTGTTTATGAGCTCTACTGGACGACTCAGATATCTTTTTCTAATTCTTGTGACAAAAGTGAAAACACATCTGTCCACAGCTGTAGGTCAGACAGTGTATCGTGATAATAGATTTATTTTATTTGTTCTTATACATTTTTACAGTCTGGAACTAGTGATTATTAATATTATTTTCCGTATTAATTTACCTGCTGATTTTTGTTGGTTTTAATTCTAAATTCTAATTAACAGTCTGTGTTTACATGTATGTGTTAATTATGGTCATAATGACGTCTGACTGATCCAGAGTTTTTTGTTTGTTTGTTTCCTCCAGAAAAGTCCAGAGCGGAGCTGGAACAAGTCCCAAAGGTAACAGACCGACTTTATTCTCTTTCTCCTGGACGAGTATGAAAGTGTCTCGTTCTGTTCCACCTGTTAACTGGTTGTCTCACGGTGTCCTGTTTGTCTGTACTTTCAATTTCCAGATCTTCATGAAGCCGGATTTCGCTCTGGAGGACCCGGCCATCTTCGGCGCCGTCCTTCCCTGGTCTCACTTCACCAGCGCAGGAGGGAAGAGCAGCAGAGACGTGGCCTCCTCCAAACTGCTGCAGGAGAAGGTGAATTCACACGTCACCGGGTTTTATGAGCACATTTTCACCACATCAACCCAAACCTGCTGACCGTGGTTCTGTCAGCCTCAGACAGCAGAGAGCAGGTGTCAGTGCTTTGGTACCGAAGTATCAGCTGGTGGTATCCTGAGTCCGTTCCACCACGTTTGATTTTAAACAACTCTTCTTTGTGTTGAGGAAATCTGTTGTTTTTTCTACTTTGCAGCTGAGTCACTATCTGGACGTGGTGGAGGTGAGCATCGCCCGCCAGATCTCCCTGCGCTCTGAGGCTTTTTTTCACGCCATGTCCTCGCAGCACGAGCTGCAGGACCAGCTGCTGGAGACGCAGCGGGCCGTTGCCATCCTGCGGGGTCGAACCGCTGCCATGGATCGCGTCATGTGCCAGGGGCCGCTGGAGGCCCTCCGCACTGCTTTGACCCGCAACAACTGCGTGAAGCTGCACAACAAGCTGAAGCTGATGGCGGCAGTGCATCAGACGCAGCCCACGGTGCAGCTGCTGCTCTCCACCTCAGAGTTTGTCGGAGCACTGGAGCTCATCGCAACCACCAAGGAGGTCTTGCAGCAGGAGCTGCAGGGAATCCACAGCTTCAGGTGAGGAGACACAGACTACTGTGTGTGCGTGTGTGTGTGTGTGTGTGTGTGTGTGCATGCGCCTGAAGTGTGACTGATCCTGTCAGAACATGAACTGCAGCTGCAGCACTGAGCGGTAACACCGCTGATGTCACATCTGTCAGAGCGGAGCTGACTGTGTGTTTGTGTCTCTCAGACATCTCGGCTCACAGCTGTGTGAGCTGGAGAAGCTGATTGACAAGATGATGGTGGAGGACTTCAGCATGTACGCCCGCAGCGACCTGAGCCGCAGCCTGAGGGACGAGCCGCAGGTTCTGGAGAAGGTCTGAAATAACTCCTCTGTCACAAATCACGTTTCAACTTTACAGCCTGACTGTTTCCTGTCATTAACTCACGTGTTTGTCACATTATGTGTGTCACAAATACTAAAACCTGCCGGTGGAAATAATAAATGGTCTGAATGTAATGATACAACCAAACAGACATAACAAGTGAGGGAAGTCGTTTCATGTTTCACAAATTCTAATAACGTTCAATAAGAACCACATTCGAAAACGTTTAGAGAAATACATTTCTTCTGAAGGAATGAAAGTTTAATAAATAAAACATGTAGAGCCGTCAGTATCTTTTTAAATCACTGGTAACCCTTGTGGAAAAGAATCAATGATGACACATTTTTTTACCAGAAACAGAAATGTTCTTATTCTCTTTAAAGATTTCTCACTTTAAAACCGTTTCACTGCACAAAACACACATTTCACTTCTCTTCACTGTCAGTCAGGGTTGTGTTGTTTCCACTGAGCTGCAGGATTTTATGTTGCAGTGACAAATGAGGCCACATTATTAAGTCATTATAAAAAAATATACATAATCTTTGGTTCCAGAAATGATTTGATTGTTAACGTCAGTAAACAAACAGGTTTTTGTCTCAGTCTCTAGTTTCAAGTCTTCTTCAAACAGCTGATGTTCATTTATCAATTCAGATCATTTAGAGTCAAACTGACCTGAAAGCACCAGTGGATTGGGGGGGGGGGCAGTGTGATTGACAGCTGGTACTGTCAAATGGGTGCAGGTGGAGGTGGGTGTGCAGTGTCCTCAAGATGGCGCCGAACAAAATGTCAAACTGAGGCTTCATAAAAACACATTCAACAGTTTTGTCCTCAGAAGTTAAAG